CCCGCCCGCCACAGCCCCGCTTTGCTGCTCCTTGGCTCCTGCTCCTCCTTCCGACACCGTCCCGTCCTTGGGCAGCCCGGCCCCGTCAGAGCCAGCATTCGTTGAGAAGTCATTGGCGTTGAAGCTGCCTTTCCGTGTGCGAGTAAAGGGGGACCTGGCGGGCAGAAAGAAGGAGAAAAGGGAATGTCTGAGTGGATGAGAAGCAAGGACACTGGAAAACCTTATTCATGGCTGCTATCCACCTCTCTTGGGATTTACAGTCCTCTGTCTTAGATACTAGATAGCCTGTCTCATCCATCGGAGGATGTGAGAGGAATTCCCAGCTGCTCCAGCCCCAGCTTTCCCAGCAAGAGCTGCCTGCAGGCACACTGAAGGCATACTGGTTTCTCCAGGGGAGCACCGTGCCAGCCCGGGGGAAGGCTGCCTGTAGAAGATGAGTGTAAAACAGGAATGATTTCCCCCTCTCCTTTCCTACCAGGCGTTGTGTGACACGTAGGGCTCAAAGTCGTATTGGATGTCAGGTTCGTCTCCTCGCTGCAGCTGCTTGACGTGAGAGGCGTATTGCTGCCCGGGGTCGTAGAGCTTGCTGCTCTCGCACAGTGTCTGGAAGTTGACGGGCAGTGGAGCCGTCTGCATGTGCATGATCTGGTAGAAGGAGATTGTGGCCTAAAAATAACATAGAGAAAATCAGACGTGAGCTTTGTGAGGTGACATACACCGAAGAGAGGGACAAGGAGCTCCAGGTTAGGTGAGAAATCAGGTGCTTGGTCTGCAGCCTTGAGCCTTGGCTTTTCAGAGCTCTACATCCACCTGGACCTCATCTGAAATAGGAGCAGCTAAGCCAGGTCTGCTGGGGAGGCAGTTCCGAACCTCTCCTGAGCAGGGTACGGCCACCCCCCCGCCCTGGGGGCCACCCCAAGCAAGCCAGCCCCACTCACCGTCTTGATGACCTGGTCACTCTGTTTGATCACTTCGTGGATCTGCCGCAAGGAATTCACCTTGGTATCCTCCAACTCCTGCTTCTGGGTATTTGCATCCGCCACACAGGTCCGATATGTGGCCATCGCCTCTTCTGCCTGAGAGTTGGGAGAGCAAGAGAGGGAAACAGTTCATGGGTAAGGAGAACAAGGAGAACAGCTCTCTCCCTGGGATCCTTTCCTGCGCCGAGGATCCGCAGGGATCAGTTCAGACCACTTAGCTCAGGGCTGCCCCGGTACTAGGACAGCAAGGAGTGAGAAGGTTCTTGCCAGGCAGATGCTCGGCCGGAGTCCAGAGCTGTCATGTTCCTACCTTGTTCTTGGCTTCCTCTTCCAACCGCCTCTTCTTGTCCAGGGTTTTGGTGGTGATGCTGCTGGTGGTGTTCTGCTGCTCTTCTTCTGCTTTCACCGCCATGTACTTGGCCTTGTCGTGTTCCTCGCTGCGCTGCATGTATATCTGCTTGGCCTTGCGCAGGTTGACCTCTGCCTCTTGCTGCCAGTGAAAACAGCGAGCCGGGGTGAGGACTGAACTCTGCAAGGGGATCGTTAGCCCCCGCAAGCTCCCCAGGGCCCTTTCCTGGCCCTTGCGCCTGTGTTTCTCCAGCATCCCCCAGCACAGCAGAGGCTACTGGAGAGGAACAAGGAGTCCAGCATCCTCAGAGGGGTACGTGTCACTCCAGACTGGGCTTGGGGAGCGCAAACCCAACGCTGTTACTCACCAGTTTCCTCTGAGCCCGGTGCCACTGCTCCTTGATCTCCTTCCTCCGTTTTTCATGTTCAAGGCGTCTCACTGTTAGCGGCTGAATCAGGAGGGAGAAAAAACCCCCACGGTGGTCAGAGCTAAACACTCGCTGCTCTTCCCTTTGCAAAAGGCTTTGCAAGGAGAAGTTCCCTGTAGCGGTTGTTATTCCCCAGCACCTCTGGGCTCGGTTACAGGGAGGGTCTGCGGCATG